CGTCCCTGAAAGGTTCCACAACCAAGATGATACAACAACAGTTCCCGGCGCAAGAGGAAATAATAGTAAGTAAACTCCAGTTTGCAGGGAGACTAAAACATTCTATTTTCAATTGGAAAACTATTACTTCCAATAAAGTAATTTTGTCATGGATTCAGGGTGTTAAAATACCTTTTTCTGAGAAACCAAGACAAAACTTTGTACCTTTGTATCGAACTACAAAAGATAGCCAAATGCAGGAAGCTATTAATAACCTCTTAAAAATAGGCGCAATAAATACGTGCACAATTTTACCAGATCAATTTGTCTCAAGTTATTTTTTGGTAAAGAAGCCTTCGGGTAAAACCCGTTTTATACTAAATTTAAAGAACTTGAATAAGTCTGTAACTAATTTCCATTTTAAAATGGAAGATTACCGAACGGTATCACGAATGATTCAAAAGGTGTTTATATGTCTACAACAGACCTTAGAGATGCCTATTTGTTGATTTCTGTGGATGCCAAATCTTCAAAATTTTTACGTTTTTACTGGAATGTAAATCTTTACGAATTTGTTTGTGTACTGTTCGGTTTATCTTGTGCCCCAACATTTTCACAAAAATGTTTTGCCAGGGAATATAGGAACTGCAACATTCTCATTAGGTGTGATAACACCACGGCCATTGCTTACATAAATAGAATGGGCAGTGTGCAGCACGTAGAACTAAATTCCCTAGCAAGACGTATTTGGCAGTAATGCGAGAAGAAAAATATATATTTATTTTAGCTTCGTACATTAACACTTCTAATAATAAGAAGGCTGATTACGAATCCAGAAGGGTTATAAGTGGGACCGAATGGTCTTTATCATTACAAGCTTTCTTTATGATTAGAAATAAGTTTGGAAATATCCAGATATTGACTTGTTTGCATCCAGTCTTAACCGGAAATGCCATAGCTGTCGATGCTTTTACAATAAGTTGGCAAAATTTATACTTTTATGCATTCCCACTTTCCACGTGGGACATGATGTCCCACCAGTTTAATTTTAAAAACAATTCAGAAAATTATAGTAGACCAGGCACGGAGTATAATTGTTGTTCCGTGGTGGCCATCGCAGCCATGGTTTCCTTTATTTCTTAAACATAAAATAGGAAACCATATTTTGTTTAAGCCACGGCCCAATTTGCTTCTTTGTCCTTTCAGTGGAAAGCAACACCCGATGTCAGGCAACCTTTCTCTGGTAGCCGCAGTATTATGCGGCAAGCCTTCCGAATAAAGAACATTCCAGAGTAAGCTATTTCCACCATGCTCAATTCTGTTTCAGAAAATACTTTAGCGCAGTATACTAGTACGTTTAAGCGTTGGTGGTATTTTTGTATAGAAAATAATTTTTCGTTTTTTAAGGCAGGAGTTCCTGAAGTTTTGAGTTTTTTACAGTTAATACTTGATACCGAGCCACATAAATGTGGTACTTTTAACAGTCATCGTTCAGCGCTATCATTAATATTACACGAAAATATTAGTGATGATGCTACGATTAAACGTTTTTTAAAAGGTGTTAGTAATTTACGACCAGCGAGACCAAAATATAGTGTAACTTGGGATACTAAGCCAGTTATGCAGTATTTGGAAAATACGCAGCCGCTAGATAGTTTGTCCCTTAAGGAACTTTCTATGAAATTAGCAACTCTTCTAATTCTTATTTCCGGCCAGAGAGTTCAAACAATCTTTTGTATCAATATAGATAATATCAAAAAAAAACTAATGGTTTTCAAGCGTTTATATCAGATAGAATTAAATAATCTGCTCTTAATATAGTTCAACCTTGTTTAGTTATTCCAGTTTGTAATGATTTTTCTTATTTCAGTAAATAAAGGGAATTAACAAGTAAACTGCTGTTTATTTGTTACTTAAGCTTTGTAATCTTCGCAAAGACTTTAAACATCTACTTGGTAATTATAATTAATATTGAGGACTGGAAGTCGTGCTAAAATTATATGATCAAACGAACTTACCTGTGATGATTGCCACACCCTACATATTTCCCCCAAGATTGCGAAGATTACTGGTACCCTTGGAATAAAGAAGATACTGAGCGTTGGCGGGGTACGATACATGATGCACAGGGCCGGACTTCTTTAAAATATAGTTGCATTAGTGAGTATCCAGAGGACTACTACTTGGTAATTATAATTAATATCTTCGGACTAGAAGTCTACTAAAATTATGATCGAACATCACAGGTAAGTTCGTTTGATCATATAATTTTTGTTTGTTATACTTTATATACACAGAAAAATTATCAATAAAATTGCTAACAAAGAAATAACATTATAGGCTGACATTTGTTATTGACATTTTGAGAAAAATGTATTCTTCATAAAAAAAATTTCTTGTTCTAAAATGGTCAATCTCGTTATATATTATATATATTAAACTTATAAAATTATATAAGAGTTTCTTGCCTTGAACTGCTAATATAGAAATTAATTCCACGCTGTGTTCGACATAATGTGGATCAACCTGCTCTCACCACCGGTTTCGGGGCCCTACCCCATCATCAGGTGAGTTTGGGTCGTTTCCACAATATGTCGAGCACAGCGCAGAGTATATAAACACGACTTGTCGTAAAGTAGCGGTAAGATATTAAGTCCCGCATCGCGAGATAGCGGCCTGCGTGCAATGGTAGTACTTTCGTACCACCGAGGCACAACCATCGATAGTAAATAAAGGTTTTTTTCGGCTAGCCCAAATTATATAATGGAAAATAAATTTCTTGCAGTTTTTAGGTATATAATAAAATTATATAAGAGTTTCTTGCCTTGAACTGCTAATATAGTTATTAATTCCACGCTGTGTTCGACATAATGTGGATCAACCTGCTCTCACTACCGGTTTCGGGGCCCTACCCCATCATCAGGTGAGTTTGGGTCGTTTCCATTATTAAACTTATTATATACTTTTCCAAGTTTTCATACCATTTTAGAGAAAATTAAAAAAACATGAAAATATAATCTAAAGCTTCATTCGGAACCTCGAAATCAGTGGAATAAATTAGTAGTTTCAATTAGCCCCAGAAGTTTCTTCAACTAATTTTAATGTAACCATTCAGAACGTCATAATCAGCGGTAGTAATTTTCAATTAGTGGAAAAAGTTAACAAACTTTTGACTTTTGCACTAATTATACTTCAAAATTTGCGAGGAATGTCATTTTGGCATTTTATTATCACCCGTCAAGAAAAATTTTGGTTAGAAATCAAAAGTTTATTGTTTTATAAGCCAAATATTATGCTTTCGCTATGGATACAACAGACTACCGCAAGCTGTTGCTAGGATATTTTATTACTTTTAATTGTGTTTTTTAGACATTGTGAATGATCGTAAACTAAAAAGTATAAAGTGTAATTGAAACGACTAATTTATTCCACTAATTTTGAGGTTCTGAATGAAGCTTAAGTCTTAAAACTTAAAAGGCGTTTCTATGGTAATATCATTCAAATTTCAGTCTATGATAGATTAGTGATTCCCAAGAACAGTTAACCTAATAGGACTGCTCATTCAGCCAAAAGTGTCCACCAGGTGCATGCGAAAACTACTCGCTTTGTGACGTCATTGTAGTCCTTGTCATGGTTATTAGTCCTTATCCGGCAACCAATAATACACACACGTGCATTATTAGTTGCCGAATATAAAACGTTCATTATTTAGTTTATTTATTTAAACACCTTATATGTATGCAGTATAGAAAATTATCTGTATAAATCGTATTAAATACTCGGATAATGCATTTTTAAGAACAGCAGTTCCCAACATCACCTTTTGCAAGCATTCTTTTTAGAGTACTTTCATATTTTGCTTTAAAATAATTAATAAACAATATCGTAGGCACTTAGTAAGCACTTTGTCACAATCCACAACACAAAATGAACGTATTTATACACTCTATAGCTGTAAAAACTTTAAAGACACCTTTTTCACATTTAAAATTGACAAAATAATTAACTCAAAATTTCTCAGCTGTTATTTTTATAAGTTTACCATAGGCAACACTATCATGACAAGGACTACAATGACGTCACAACTGTCAGCTGAAGCGCGGGAAGAGGCGAACGTACGTCTTATGAGGATGAGCAATCCTATTAGTTTACCGTTCTTGAGTGATTCCCACGAGACCAACGAGACGAGACTTTCATAAAGTCTTGTCTCGTCTCGCCGATAAAATAAGAAGTCTCGTATCGAGTCTCGTTTCGGAGCCTCCAGTCTCGTCTCGTCTCGCGTCTCGTACGAGAGTCTCGTGAAAGTATCGAGATTTCGTCATGTATAATCCTTGTTCCAATCCAGTACGGGATATGTATTTATAGTTTGTACAAAACAACCTTGAGATCACGTGACATTTATAAAGAAACCGGAACATTTTTGTAATTTATCTAATTTTTCTTGTTTATTTTTTATTAACTAATCGATATTTATTAGGCTACAACTAACATTTAAACATTCAGGGTGTAAAAAAAATTTATCTCAAGTCACGTGTTCCCAAAGTTGTTTGTATGAGCTATAGTTGGCTATAATATAAAAGTAGGATGAAAAAATTACAAATGTTGAAACATAACTCATATATTTCATAGTACTACGTAAACACAAAACAAAAAACAAAAACTTAACATTAATTTTGAAAAAAAATCATATATGTCATAGTAATACGTAAACACAAAATAAAAACCAAAAACTTAACATTAATTTTGAAAACAAGTAAAAACAATAACATAGGTACTAACAGCCTTCTCGGTCACAAATGTTTTTGTTTTTCACCCTGTCATTTAGGCATAACAAACATCGTGCAGATTCATTATTAAAGCGATTTCTGTGTTTTCTAATGGTTTACGCAGCACGAGAGAATAACCTTTCCGCCGGGACGGAGGTAGCTGGTATACTCAAGAGATCTCGTGCCATCAACTTAAAATGGGAGGTTCAGAACCATGAGTTCTCCGCCATTGTAATATACCTGTGTCTTTATTACACCGGGGGAATTGAATAGTATTTTTGAAGCTCCTGCATCCATTCTCCTTCGGCAGGGGTAGGATTTACTGCGTACATGGCATCAAAATCAATTACAAAGTCCGACTTTTCAGGGCCAGGATTTTCTCGTCCTTGTTGCGCCACCGCTGTTTCTGTTGAACGTTGTTCCTCTAATTGATGCAAATAGACTTTACAAATATCTTGAAATTTCTGAATCGAATTATCTTTTAATTCTTCGCCCCATTTTGTCATATCAAAGGTTTCTAACTTATGACGTGGAAGAAATGACGTATCCAGAATTAAAACTGCAGCATAAATCCAGTTCGTTTTACGATAATGCTTTAGTATTTTGTCTCTCGCAGCCTGAAAACCAACAATAAGCTGCTCTTCGACAGGGGTTCGATTTGTTTTTCTGTCCCATTCAAATATTTTACTCTCAAGATTATCTATTAGTATATATTGATACATACAACCACCATAGGTAAGGTGACGTACTTCTCTCTTCCGAGTTTTTTGGAAAGTATTTGAAAGTTGATTAATAATTTGTGCACTTCTTCTAGCAGTATCCATTCTTCATTTCTAAGAGCATATGGTTTTAAATCAACAACATTTTGACGTAATACACCGAGTCCATATCTGCCTTTAAGAGCTACTTGCAACATATCATCACTGGAATTCCATCGTGTAGGTGCATCCAACACAGGTGTCAGTTGCCGAGATTTACCAGTTGCTTCACACGCACCTCGAAACTTAAGTAAAAGTTGGTTTTTAAGTAAAGGTTTTTCAAGTGTTCACCTGCGAGACTCTCGTACGAGACACGTCGAGACGAGACCAATAAAAGTCTCGTCTCGTATTGTCCGAGTATCGTCTCGAGTCTCGTCTCGTTTACGAGACTCTCGTGGAAAACACTATGATAGATTGTTATTGATAAAATTTTTATTAACGTCATATTTTTTGCTGTTTTAAAATGTTAATAGCAAAAAATATGACGTTAATCCAAATTAATAAGAACCACCTATCAAAGAATGAAATCGAAATCATGTTACCATGCCTTTTGATCTTTAGGACTTCAACCATATTTTCATGTTTTTTTTTTAATTTTCTGTAAAACGGTATGGATATTTGGAAAAGTATAAACCATGGAATTAACCATTTTAGAACAAGCAAAATTTATTTTATGAAGAATGACTTTTCCTATAAATCATTCCTTCATTATTAAAAAAGATTTTCCTCTTGTAAAGACAATACGGGGACATAATGAATATTTGGGTATGGGTAGTATACTCAGTTCTTTTTACGAAAATATCTCATATGCCCTGATTAAGAGATCGACCCCTGCAATTTTATTTTAAACCGTTTAAACAATTAATTGAGCAGGAACAATGACCAACGTTCGATGCGGCCCATTGTAATTCCTGCACCGGAAGCCTTCGCCGCTGATAAGTTATAACCGCTCAGCATGCATCCGGTGTCCCTCAGGACGAATTACGATTGGACAGCACTTGTCGAATTCAAAACGTACATATAGACCAATTTGCTCTAATTTATTACCGGGCCCATGAAACTGTCAGAAGTAAATTATATTACTCGCAGGATCGGTTATGACTAGCCCTAAATTTTAGATGAGGTTTGAGGCGAAGCAGCCTTTACCCTCTATATACGGTTTACGCAGTTTGTTTGAATTATTTTGGTAGAGAAATTTTCTGGCAAAAATAGTTCTTTAATTCGTACATAATTCTTAGATATTTGACTCAATATTTAAATACAGCTCATACCAAATAAACTTTTAGTCACGTGATAAAGCTTGACCGGCACAGCGATGCCCACTTTTACACATTTTCTTTTAATCAATATATTTTATGAAACAAAAATAAATTAATTATAAATACATAAACTGTTATTATTTACAACAACACAACTCACCTTCATTTTAATAGCATTTAAGGGACATAAAGGGCCATTACTACCGCTTTCCCGTTCAAAATCTATAATATATAAAATCCTTATAAGTGACTGACATACTGATTAATCACGATCCTGCTCAAACCACTCAACGTAAGAAGCTCAATTTTGGCATACAGGTTGATTCTAGGGTGTAGAGGTTCGATAAGAAGGGATTTTTCGAAATTCCAGTTCCAAGAGGGTGAAACCACCCCTCAAATATTACAAGATTTTTTATTTAAAAAACGGTCAAGTTTCCGAAAAAACGCTTAAACACGTATATTTTATTTTGTTTTTTTTACATATTTTAATATTTTTTAAAAATGTATACAAGGTGTTTCGAAAAATCTGGTCATTGATTAATCACGATCCTGCTTAAAGCGCTTGACGTAAAAGGCTGATTTTTGGAAAACAGATTGACTTTAGGGTGTAGAGGTTCGATAAGAAAGGATTTTTCGAAACTCGAATTCTAAGGGGGTGAAACTATCCCTCAAATATTAAAATATTTCTTATTTAAAAACCGGTGAATTTTTCGGAAAAACTCTTAAACATGTATATTTTATTTTGTTGTTTTACATATTTTAAGATTTTTTATAAATTTTTACAGGGTGTTTCATAAAATATGACCATTGAGTTATCACGATTCTGCTTAAACTGCTTGACGTTTAAAGCTGATTTTTGGCAAACGGATTGACGGTGGGTGTAGAGGTTCGATAAGGAGGGGTTTCTCGAATCTCAAATTCCAAGAGGGTGAAAACGCCCCTCAAATATTACAATATTTGTTATATAAAAAACGGTTAGTCTTTCGGGAAAACACTTGGACAAGCATACTTTATTTATTTTTTTTACATATTTTGAAATTTTTTAAAAAATCATACAGGGTATTCCAAAAAGTAGGGTAATTTCTTAACCACGATTCTGCTTAAACTGCTTGACGTAAAAAGCTTATTTTTGGCAAACGGATTTTTCGAAAGTCAAATTCCAACGAGATGAAACTACCCCTCAAATATTTCCAAGTTATATAATAATATCGCCATATTGTTTTTTCTCATGCTGATATAAATGTGAGAAAATTTTATCCAGTTTGTATGTTAATGGAAATTCTTGCTTTGCTTTATTATCATCATTACAAATGATTAATTTGACGCGAACGAAGTCGCTGGTACACGCGTAATAAAGTTGCAATGAGTTTTTTACGGATAGCTATATTGTACCACTTCGCACTAAAAGAGGTTCTAAACAGAACAGTGTTCAATTGCAAGGTCTGCTAGTAAACATTTATAAGCTTAAAGTGTCACAACACTATTTATTTAAATTAAAAACTGGTAATACAAAACTAATCAAACGAATGACGATGTCAGGAAATAAATAAATAAATGTGGCAACTTGACATTTTTTACAGCAGAGTTACCACCTGAATTCCGAGCGGGAAATTTAAATTCCAGTTAGTCAGGCTGGCACCGAATATGTCCATGGTTGGCAACAATGAATTTAAAAATGGCGCTTTCGATTACGTCACTAAAAGTTTAATTGATATCAAATATAAATGGGTGGCCAGCTAAGAAAGGACGCCGTCTGTAACTCATAAACTACGTATCGTACAACTTTGGGAAAAATATTCTTTAGGAAATTGATCAAGAAAAATCGCTAGAAAGTATTTTCAAAATTGAAAAAAGTTCTCCAGGATGCGCCAGAAAACGTCTAAAATTAAAATTTCTGAAAATTAAGCTTAGACCTTTTTATATTTGTACGTAATCTATTTATCTCTTTTTGTTTCCCAACCTATTTTTGCAAATTTTAGGCCATTATAGACCTAGGGAGCAGCTTAACACGATTTCTTCTTTTGATATCTCTTCTAGAGAGAAGATATAAAGTTGCGGTTTGGGCACTGACATTTTGGAAATTTTTTGCTCTATTTAACTTTGTAAAAACAAACATAGCCTGCTATTTAACTTATTTTTGCAAAAGCGCAGTATATATTATGACGTCAAAAGCGCCCTCTAGCTGCGACGGCGAAATCTGTGAAAAAGAAACAAATTTGTATTGCAGATTATTAAGGAAGAAAAGTTCTTTAAAATGAGCCTTAACTTATTTTATTTTGTCAACCTAAACCAGAGTTACCCTTCATTTAATAAAAGCAAGACCCACAACCTTATTTTTTGAGATAAAATTCTCTGTACCAAAAAATTACAAATTTTCAACTGATTGATGATACTTAAAACACCTTTTCACGTGTATATTTTTGAGAAAATCCCTTTTTCTGATTGGTCATAAGTCTGAAGTCCTAACCACTTTATTAGCTCTATTTAGTAGTTTAAGTAGGTTAGAGTAGTCTAAAAGTTAGTATTCTAGACGTTATTATAATAAAAGTTTATTTAAGTAAATACATAATAATTACATTAACAATAAATTCTTAAAAACTATAAGTTATATATGATTCTACAAGACCGGATAACTTGGTTGCAATGCAATGCCGCATTGGTTAACGCCTCTCTTCATTAAAATATATCCATTTTCTCCAAACTCAGTTCCCCACGAGTTTTTAATGATCCAGTAATCTTGCCCGTTTTTGGATCCATAACCAACTGCCAACACTGCATGATTTAGTTCAACTTGACTGCAACTTTCACTTTGGAATATACCTGATCGGTAAAATTGGATTGGTTCGGCATCGATAGCAACAGAAATTGGACCTACAAAAATTATTTCGATATGTTTGCATATCAAAGTATATTTCGAAATTTGTTTGGAAATTTTTTTGTTTTTTTAGTTAAAAACATACTAGCAAAATAAAGCACTACTTTACCAAAATATACCAAAACACTTTACTAGTTTTAATCATCTGTTGATGACGCTAACATGGCTAGCGAAACGCGCGTTCAGTACAAAAAGTAAAGTATTTTGGTGTATTTTGGTAAAGTAGTATTTTATTTTGCTATTATGTTTTTAACTAAAAAATTTAAAAAAATTCCAAACAAATTTCGACATATACATTTCAATTTTTTCGCGCAAAAAGAAACTCATAGGCGTGTTCCTTGGATCGAAATATACCATCCCTAGAAATATTTACACTTATTTAAAATTCACCATGTATTCGAGGGGAAGGTGGTACACGAATAATGTCTGATGCCAATCGAAAATACTCACTTTGCTGCCAAATGCGTATACGATAACTATTTTTTTACGATTAATACATGAATTTAGAATTTCCCACAAATATGGTGTTTTGGCTAAAATTTCCCTTTTCCCTCTAGATCTCAAAATTCAATTAATGTTTTATTTTGCTGTTGTAACACCAAGCGTTCCAACCCCAACTATAAAAAACATTATATCTGTGTTGTGCTGACGACACTGTATTGTATTTGAGAATTTTTAGAAAAAAAAAACAAATTTTGGCCGTCTTTGTGGGAAATTTTATTTCCGAAAGTTGGAAATACTGCTACATTATTATCATGTGCTTTATTGTAATTTAGTGTTTTATTGTAATGTGCGTAAAAATACCAATGGGCTTACCAATGTTCTGAAAAATAAATAAAATATATTAACGTTTCTACCTTTTGAAGGCTGTGATTAATAATAAGAAGAACCAAGTCCCTCAAAGAATTAAATTCGTTGATTTAATAGAATGAAAATTCGCCGAACTGATGTGGCAATGAATATACTAACGTAATGATGTCAAAGAACAACGATGCATAGCTTGTAAGGACTAAAGGACTACAGAAGAGATTGGCGAGGACCTGATTAATCTACTAGAATCAACAAGCATAAAATAGGTGGTTAACATAAGACAGTACATCATGAAAGGAACCTAAATCCAGGACTTCACAAATTATGAAGGAAAAGAAAGCCTTAAAAAGCATAAACAATTTCTCAGTACTTAATTTCATCTATGTTATATTTGGTTTGATTCAGTAAAGTACAAAATGTCCCTTTTATTTAATTATATTTATGCTTTAAAAATCAAAACGATATACTCTTACCAACTAAACCAACTGCTGCCACTAGTGCATCTTCGTTTTTAGATTCTACGTCAACAATACTTTTGATTTTTGTTACGATCAAGCTGTTGTTTTGGTGACATTGATCGTCGTTCATCTCAAAAGGATAGTTTGATTCAGTTTCTGCTCCATTTTCTCTGAAATATTAAATAAAATCTTATTATTAAAAATATGACGATAGCTTGTTTCATTTTTTTTTCATATTGACATTACTAATATACTATAGATATGTTTGAAACTGTTTTACGTGTAATGTTCAGTTTCTATTTTAACTAAATCCTCGCGTTTTGCAAATCGATTATTCGGGTATTGCAAATAATTTTACAAATCGTGTTATTAAGTGTTTATAATAATTATAATTTATTTCAGTGTAAACATAATTGTGAAATACTCGGTGGTTGAGTGGAAATCAAACTTTATATACATTTAATAATACAATATTTTAATAGTTCAAAATAGCCAGTATAAACTCTACAATGAAAACTGCGTCTTAATATCTAAATAATATTTTATATATCGCAGAACTAGGATAAATCAACATTTTTTTAATTCTATGTACCTACAAACATGATGTAATAATATGTACATATTACATTCTGCTCTACTAATTAATGTTACTGAACAATTTTTAAGAAAAATCTTTAACAATTTAAAATGTTATTAATAAAAAAATTCTTTAACACTTTCAAAAATGTAAACATTAATTAACAATTTAATTTGCATCTTACACAAAAAATATATTATAAACATTAATCAAATAATTATTATGTGATAATAATAAACAATAATTTCTTACACTATAAATTAACATACTAAGAAATTAAGGATTGTAAACTAATCTATCTGGAGGTTTTGTACATCTTTTAGGCCTCCCTGTAGATGTAGAAGGTAAATCCAAAGGTATATTAACATTGGGTAAATCACTATTTTCAGAATTATTACTAATCTCTCCGTCCTGATTTTTTTCTATTTGAATTGCATCATTATTATCGCTATTTTGGATAGAAACTTCAGAATCAACAATACCACTTTGAATTTTTGTTTTTCTTATTTGATTTGTATGTCGTTTCCATTTTTTATCGATCTCAGGAATGTAAACTATATATGTACATTTACCGATTATTTTTAGAATAGTACCTGGTAATCCAAGAAACCTTATTTACTTGCCTATAATCTTTTACTAAAACTTTGTCGCCAAGCTGAACTTTATTTTTTAAAATACCTCCAAAATTCTTTATTTGAATTTTTTGCTTGTTAAGAACTCGATTTTGAACGTTTTCATTTGAACTGTTGTTCAGATCAGGTTTTAATACCGAAAATCTTGTTCTTAAATCACGACCAAACATGAGCATTGCAGAAGAAACACCCGTTGTTGAATGCGGAGTGTACAATCAAATCCAATGATAAATGGGTCACGTAACATCATGTCAAAAACTGTTTCGGAAAAACTACAATTAATTGCCATACTTCGTACTCTTGCTGCCCATTCAGTCGCACTTTCGTGAGTATCTTTGAACGAAGTAAAGAACTTTGACCTTGCTACGAATACTGACTCAGCCACTTTAAAATGTGTATTGAACAGTTCGGTGAGTTCATTATAGGTCTTGTCTTCTGGTAATCTTGGTAAAGGCAAATTATATATAAGTTTATATGCTTCCTCATCCAGAGCATTAAGCAACAATGCCTTCCTCTTCTCGTTGTCAGTTATACCATTTACGGTGAACTAATTTTCCAGATGCCTTTTATAAATCCCCCAGTCACTATTTTGAGCACTGAATTCTCTCATTTTTCCATAATATGATGGATTCTCAGTTTCCTCCATTTTTTTTTTAATCTTTCTTTAAACTATGTTTTTCTTCTTTCCAGGAATGGAGACTAACACTGATTATATTTTTATCCTCGTCGCCAATGTGAAATACTCGGTGGTTGTGTGGAAATCAAACTTTATATATATTTTAATAATACTATATTTTGTTATAATCCCGTCCTCATTTTAATCAAATTTGTAATATTAGTTTAGGAATGTCCCATCTCTAATAAAAACCTTAATACCTTTGAGGTCATAAACGATCCTACAATATAATTCTAATTGATAACTTTAACTATTACTGTTGGGAATTTTGATCATAAATTTATATAGCTTTCGCAGACGTCTGTCTATCTGAACAATGTAAGTTTAGGGCAGTGTCGTCCACTGCTCTGAATATTAGATTAAGGATAGAAAAATTGTACTGTACGCCTCTGGCATTTCTGTAGCTTAGATATTATTTAAGGAACTGCAAGACAGGCCCTCATATCTCTTTGCTAAAACCCTGTTTCAGTCACATACTTCTTTTGCTCAACACTCTTTTACTTTTGCTCTTCAACTCTCTTTTTACTCTTCAAAACATTATTAATTCTCACAGTTTCCCTCAGAGTAACTATTGTAATTAGTTTATCATAATTAAAGTTAAGTTATATTAAAAAACAACAGTGTACATTAATTCCACACCCGAAAAGACCCTCAACAAGTTGGCCCTTCTGAAGAGGACCACAACAATTTTAATAATGTTTAAAATAGCCAGTATAAACTCTACAATGAAAACTGCGTCTTAATATCTAAATAATATTTTATATATCGCAGAACTAGGATAAATCAAAATTTTTTTTAATTCTATGTACCTACAAACATGATGTAATAATATGTATATATTACAATAATGAAAATCGGTAATAGTACCGATTTTCATTATTGTAAGTTCATTATTTCACTATTGTAAAGAGACATGGTACCATTTCCAAGCTTAAACAAGAAATTGGTGGTTTTAGTATAAAACTCAAACTAAAAACTGCCGAGGTTTCTGACGTAGAGACTTTGTCGAAAGTTGATACGTCTGAGAATTATGACGAAGTTGATGGAGTTTATCAACCCAGCCTTGAGAATGTGACAGATGTTAATTCATCAAAGGAATACCTTAATTCAAAATATAAGGGTGAAGTAAAAAGTGAACAAACCCTGAGTTATATACTATCTATTTTAAGAAAAATTATCTGTATTATAACGTATCATACTTTTTTGCATATCGGGTATTCCATCGCTGCATTCACTTTCTTAGGTTAAATTTTTACATTACCCGCAATCATTATATCAAGTAGCTAAGATGGTACTCAAATTTAGTTTAGATACAATTTTTTTGTATCTGATCATGTAATGACAAAGTTGCAAAAAAATAGAAAATGATTGCCATCTTAAAAATAGGGGTGTCAAATTATATTTTTTGTTTTGTTAAATCAAAAAATATAATTTGACACCCCTATTTTTAAAAGAAGGATTTAAAGTGTCTTTGGTCCATTTACAATTTCTCGCTTGTATCTCCTTATAGAAATTTTTTTGAGAGGTACATAAAAAAAATTTTGAAAGGTACATAAGTTTTTGATTTCAGAGGTTGCACTGACCACCGACCAGCAAACGGCTTTAGAAGAGGCGATACTGGACGAAGCAGTAGCTTGCGGATTGCAACGCAATGGTCCACAACATGTGGGTCAGTTGCGTTTTGCGGTGATACACTTTCGTTTGGGTATGCTTCTCATAGATGGTGTATCTCAAGAATCGGCGGATTGGTTGGCGGAAACGGCACCTAAGCTTATGAAATGGCAAGGGCCGGGACTTGCGTGAAGGGAGAACACATCCCAAAAGGGGCGACCACCACGGTCTTTCTGCCGAGGAGCAAGGGGAAAGACACCACCTACCTGTTGAACCTTATCCAGGCTCACAACTCCAATGCAAGGACATCGAGTTGTTTGGGACAACACCGGTAATAGATCTAAGGAGAAACCAAGTTAAAGAGGTGAAGAAATTGGAGACAGATCCTCCAGCCTCCACCTCAAAGGGTGTTTTGAACCTTCGTACTGTTAGACAACGTATTATCTTTCACAATACTGGTGCTTTTACCATTTATCTTTCTACGGGGTGTTTCACATTGCTGACATGTCAATAAATAAATAAGTTGGGGGAAGGGGGTAATATATAAGTTACTTACTTAATATATTGAAAAGCTGGATCCAATTCTCCACCATTACAACCAAACAATCCGTATTTTTCTGTAGCGCAATCTATGAGTTGCTGTTCGCTAAACGAGACCAGTTTTTTATGTTTCAAGTAGTATGCTCCTTCCAAACTGCCAGTCTTGGAAAAAGATAATATGAAATTTTCGTTGTTACCAAAACAAAATTATCTTACAACAGAGAATGCCCAACATGCTCCACAAATTCCTTGGTCCTTGACATTTGTCACTGCTCCTTTCTTTCTCCAATCAATAGATTTGGGAACAGATGCGTTTCCAGATACCTAATATAAAATAATATATTTTAAATTAAAAGATTTCAAAGAAATTCCAAGTACATAACTGAGAAATTAGTTGTTTGCTACCATTAAGGATACTGCTTCATAATACTATAAAATATATAATTTTGTTAAAATCGCTCATGATAAGGTAACACACTAGAATCATGTCTATTTATTAAAACTTAATTGTACACGTAAGTCGACAAGAAATTATTTAATAAACTTTGTATTAGGATTGTGATCTGACAATTTACAACAATACAAAATATCTTAATATATTCTACAATAATACTATAAAATTGTCTTTATTAATGTAAATATGTACCCCGGGTGTTTTTCAAAAGTGGCTCACCACTATAACTTGGTATTTTTTTGTTTTATTTGATAGAAAATGGCGTTCTGAATAGAGTCATATCATATTATATCAACTTTTGACATCTTCGTTTAAAAAGAGTACTATTTTAAAATTTAATCTACAGTATGTCCTCGGATTATCTTTACAAGAGGAAAAAGATTGAAATTTTGAGAAAAATGCATTCTTTATAACAATTTTTGCTTGTTCTAAAATGGTTAATCCCCTTTATAGAAGAAGCTTCGAAAGTTCCATATCGTTTTAGAGACAGTTACAAAACATGAAAATGTAGTAATTTTTGACAGAATTTTAATCAACGTCTTTTTTTTTGTTTAAAATGTTAAAAAAGCACAAAATTTATTTAGTTCAGTGCTTTGGAAAGGGTTGACAATAGTTAGCATGTAATAGTTATTGGAAAATGTGATCATCATTGTGACATCAAAAAATATGACGTTATTCAAAATTAATTATAACGATCTATCAAAGAATAAAATCGAAATTATATTACCATAGAAACGAATTTTAATTTTTAGGACATTTTCATGTTTTTTTTTAATTTTCTTTAAAACAGTATGAAAATTTGGAAAAGTATAAAGGGGATTAACTCTTTTAGAGAACAAGCAAACATTTTTTTTTATCAGGAATGCATTTTTCTCAAAATGTCAATAATAAAAAAGTGTTTCCTCTGGTAAAGGCAATCCGGCGATATACTAAAGAGTATTTTTTTTCCAAATATGCACTGAGCTACCATCGTTCCATTAAAAAAACATAGTTATGATTAAAAATACGACTTGGGCATCTTTTAATCGACCAGGAAAAGACACGTAATACATTAGAGAATCAAATCTATTTTTCGAAAGCTTCTTGATTAAAAATTAATGGTTTTAACAGAGCCATGATACTCTACAGTATGTCCCAGGATTGTCTTTACAAGAGGAAAAACATTTTTATTATTCACATTTTCAGAAAAATGCATTATTCACAAAAATGTATGCTTGTTCTAAAATGGTTAATCTCGTTTATACTTTTTCAAATTTCCAAACCGTTTTAGAGAAAATAAAAAAAAAACTGAAAATATGGATGAATTTTGAAGTCCTAAAAATCCAAACGCGTTTTTTATGGAAATATAATTTCGTCTTCATTCTTTGTTAATAAAAATTTAATTTACATATTATCGTCATATTTTTGACTGATTTAAAATTTTAAACAAACATAAAATTAAGTTAGTTCAATGCTACAGAAATAATAAAAGATATCGAAAAATGTAATACTTTAAGAATAGCAAAAAATATGACGTTAATCAAAATTAATAATAAACGTCTATGAAAGAATGAAATCGAAATTGTATTACTATAGAAACGCCTTTTGATTTTTTAGGACTAAAAAATTCAACTATATTTTCATATTTGTTTTTTAATTTTCGTTAAAACGGTATGGAAATTTGGAAAAGTATAAACGGGATGAACTATTTTAGAACAAGCAAAAAATAAAGATTGAATTTTTCTCAAAATGACAATAATAAAAAAGTTTTTCCTCTTGTAAAAAGAATCTCGGGACATGCTGTAGATTGAAATTTAAATTCCTATTTCTTAATCGAGAATATAAAAAATTGACATATGATATGTCATTCAGAATATTATTTTTTATCAAATAAAATGAAAAAATATTGCGGGAACAATTTAAAAATCAGAAGTTGTAATAATTTCGGGTGAAACGGGAAGTGACCACAGTAACTAATTGAATATGTCAATTAATCCATTGATTGATTGATGATAATAATTAATTCATGTCATATACTAAAATAGCAATTGTCATTTTTTATCTGAAAAAAAAATTAAAAGTTATAGGGGTCAGTACTTTTGAAAAACACCCAGTATAGTTATTTCTCTAAAGAAACGATATTAATATTAAATACATAATTGAAACACTTGCCTGAAATAGTGTTCGTGCTTTCCTTTCGACGCCACTTGATGGTTTGAATGTTAAGAAGTCTTTAAATTCTTCACTGGTCAAATCTGCAAATTGAGTTATACCCATTTTGAACGTTTTAAGTCCTTTATCGTAAAGACCGTTGTGTTCGTCGATTTTTTGTAAATTTTCTTGAAAAATGTCATAGCGTCTGGATTCATCATCTAGGCTTCGATAAAATCGCATGTGCTCTTTCTAAAAATACGTAATTAGTGAAAAATAGATTCTCGATATTAGCAATTCAATTATATTAACAATTTTTTTAAAGTTCTCGAGAATGGTGAATTATGAAATATATATTTTCTTTATACAGGGTGAGTCTTAATATAAATGTAAGGATAAGTGCAAATATTTTCAGGGCTGGTAGATCTCGATAAAAGAAACATATTTTCTCTTTGCCGTGTTTCAAATAAGTCCAAAATAACTGAGTTATAGTTTGAAGATTTCCAAAAAAAAAATAATTTTGTGTTGTAATCATATTATGTATCATGTTGTGTCATATTATCAAGAAATCTAAAAAAAATTCCAAAAAATTCCAAACTTCAATTTTTTTTTTCGCGAAAAGAACCTCCTACTCGTGTTTCTGGGATCTAAATATACTACCTCTAAAAATATTTGCACTTATTTAAGACTCATCCTGTATCTATATAAAATGAATCCCTATTTCCCTTGGTCACGCCATAACTGTAGACTGACTTTTCCGATTTCATTCATCTTTTTTTAAGTTTTCTAATACTTTAAGAAGGTTCTTAGGGAAAGGAAAATTGCGCAGAAAATTGGAAAATTTCAGAAAATTTAACAATTATTTAAACTTCGCGTGTTTGACAGTTCTCACGCCGCAAATGTTTAAATAAAAGTCGGTATATATTGATGAAAATGCAGTTTTTCGTTTCTTAGTGCACGGTCCATTTGATCGGAAAGATAATCCGGTTTTCCATTTTTCAGTGAGTTTTTTGGGTTGTTTGTTTATCGCAATCACACTGTATATTAAGAGTTTAATTTAATATCATATATGCAGGGTGAGTCTTAAATAAGTGCAAATATTTTAGGGGTGGTATATTTCGACCCCAGGAACACGTCTATGATTTTTTTTTCGCTAAAAAAAGATGCTGAAAATAGTGCATTTTCTTTTAAATTACCCTGTATATTTTTCCAAAACTTTTCTGCCTTCTAAAAAAACTGCCTGTTCACCACAAATTTTCCCACGGTGTAATTTCTTAATCTCTGATATTACCATAGGCTTTACTCTATGGTTACGGCAATAAAATGGATGCAAATACAGGTTATTCCGTCAATCAATCATTCGTATCACAAAATAGACAAAAAAACTCCCACTTCACTTCAAATTTTAGGCGATATGAAGATAGACTGGTCAGCTAGTATTGCAATAAGATTTAAATAGTTTTAATATTACCTTAAATTGCAACCACTGCTGATGATATTTATTTGTTCCAGCTTGAACTAAAGTTAAAGCTAAAATAGACACTAGAAACACTACTAAACACTGCATAGTTTTAATTTATAGTATAAAAACTAATAAGGTGTGATATTAAGAAAGGTTATTAAACAAAGGAATCCACTGATTTCCTTTTATACTTTAAAGTACCTATGATTGGCCTCATTTTGGAAACTGTAAACATAGAATGTCAAGTAATAGGTAAACAAATCAATAACAATTTTTTCAATGGATATAATGTCAGTATACAAAGCCTCTTTCAAAATTATGTCATTTTATTTTTTAACAAAAAATATAGTCCAGAAAAAGGTTGATTTTTTCTCTAGATAAAAAAATGAGAGGACTTTAGAAATACTATTGATAAAGATATTTGGTAGAAAAAAGCTGAAGGAATATGAATAAAATTTATGAAAATGTTACATTATTTATAGTAAACTTCCAAGACAATAAGGAGCAAAAATAACTAGTTTTTGAAGGTTAAGGCTTTTTATATCAAGTAGAATAATTAGTTAATTAATGTGTTATATCAGCATAGTTTTACACACACAACAAGACAAGTTGAATTACAAAAGATAAATCACCTTAGTTATAAAAAAAAATACTTTTTATATAAATAATTGAACCGAGACAAAACTAACAAAACTTTTTCCATTTTTCGTATATTTCGTCAATATTTCAAGGACGATTTAGTTCTCTCTCTCTCTTTCTCTCTCAAAACTATTATACTATCTCTTAACTATAACAAAGACTTTTCCTAAACAATAAAGAACACCGTGCACTAACAATTAATAACATTTTTATTTATTAGATAATGCGTTATACGTATCACATTCAATTGTTGGTATAGTGTAAATACAAACAATGACTAAAGTGGCAAATTATGTTTGATGCGCCAGATTATCTTTACTTCTTAAAACTAGGACATATAGACTGAAGTAGAAAGAAAAATATGTAATATGCTATTTTTATCGACATATTTCTATTTTAAGTTTTTAAAATATGAAGATATAAAGACGAAGCCCCCCTAATAACCTAATTTTATAAACAGGAATTCAAATGGATACATAAGATAGTACACAAATCTACTGAGCGATGGATGTTTAAAATATCAAAAAAGGTATAGAAATAGAAGACAATGGAGTATCAGAAACGTGATCTACAGTATTAATGTAATCCTGGGTATGTGATATGCAGGAATCACATACGCAAGAATATTTACTGGCCATTTCATCAAGATAAAATCCCATGGGTGCTTCAAAAGTATATGTTAAACATACTAAAAATTACAGATTTTACCAGCTGGTAAATTTCGCTTGTCTTTGAGCATTTGCTTTAAGTGCCACCAGTATTTAGTAAGTCTCTACTACAAACTCTGCTACAAACATCCTGAAACGACAAAATACATAGTATGTAGATGCTGTAGATCGTAGGCGTCACTTTCTATTTAGGAAAGGGCTAGAATCGGGGAAACTATGCTACCATTTTAACAAAGGCCTGTACAAACTGGTGCAGGGTACAGGGATAGAAGACCGGGTTCAGACAAAAAAGGGGGATAAACACAATAATAGGCCTTACAGGTCGTAGTGTTTCTTAAATAGCGATCTCGATGCAACATGGAGTATTGTAGCCAGAGCCAGTCAACTGAGATATACGACCTTGAACGATCTGTTAATTGAAATAGTTATTTCCTGGTGCACTAGATGGCGCATCAAATTTTTATAGTTGCCTACAAAAATGCGTACAACAATGTTAAGTTTTTAGAGTTGCCTAAAAACTGACAAAAAGGGAGATATTTTTTTCTACTGATCTAAACCACACTTTTCCAAATTTGATTCCGGTAAATCATCAGCTGTTTATTGTTATTTCTGAACTTTCAATAATCATTGTTGTAATTAATGTATTTTTCTAATATTTTTCACTGGTTTGTTTGGTATAAAAAACATCATTTTCATAAACCGAGTTAGTAATTTGTGAAAACATTGTTTATTTAAAATTAAATTGTTTCAGGAACTTAAGTACTTTATTACAAGATTTGCCTTGTTCTGTATTACAATAATTTTTGTAAATACTTCTATTTTTTATGAATATTTAAGTTACTGTTACTCTTAATTTTTTAACAAATAATTTAAAACTATTTCGAAGAAGTTTTTTGAAAGAAACTATTTCAAAGTAAGTTATTTATATTAGCTTTATTAATAAATACCTATCTTATAGATTGAATTTATTTTATTTTTATCTATATTGTAAAATGTGTGATGGAACCATTTGTCATTACAATGTTTTAATCCCTTTTTATATAATACTGTTCTCAGAGTAGTAACGACCTAGTCAGCGACAATCAGATGTAAGAAAATGAGTTTTTATACTGATTTCTGAAAATCTGATATCGGGTCGAACTGAGACGGACAGTCAATATATTCAAATTTTTCGTCAGGGTTAGTTCATTTCTGGTACACTAGATGGCGCCACTTTAAATTTGATACTAAAAAATACACGGGAGTTCTTTAATATGTTCTGTGATTGTAGCCAAATGATTAGATTTTCAGAAATTGTATGTGCTCCAGGGATGTCAATCCCGGGATCTTGGAATCCCGGAAGAGAATTTGCCTCGAAAAATCCCGGGATTGTATTATATAAACACCGATTTTTCATGCCATAGAGTAAATTGCTTAATTTCGGAACTAAAGTAATTTACGTAAAATCCGACAACGTTGCGACCTGAAAACAGAGCGACCTGTAAACTCTGAACCAGATGATTGTTTCAAAACATCAAATATTTCCCTAATTAAATCGGGGATAGAAAAGCTTTTAATCAGACTAGAGCTCGACAATTCATCAGATACTTCTAGAAGAAGAACCAGCAACGACAGCGAAGAGGTTGAGCTTCCCATTTCCGAACTTCTGAGATAGGCAGATAATGAACCTTTAAAGGTTAAACTGCAGAAAGCATTAAAACAATCTTCAAAGCCGATAAAAACCAAAAGAAATAATAAGACGTGATTGTCCGACATTATTACCCAAGAAATTGAATTATTTTCAAATGGTGGTAGTCGGGCACGTAATCTCCAAAAAGCTTTTGAATTTTTATCAACCATTCAGGCCAGCAGCGTAGAATCTGAAAGATGTTTTTCTTCGGCAGGGATCTTGTGTAATAAGATACTTTCAAGACTGGGGGATGAAGCTTTGGACGCATTAATATTTTTACGCTATTTTTTTAAAAATATGTAGATATAGAGTAAAGCGGGGAAATATGGCAACATAAATTTCATAGGATCACATTCTAACAACCAAGCGACTCAGCCGCAATATGAAAGTGACACCTAAGACTGTGCCTTTATAGCTAGTCACTGTAAATATCTCGTTGCCGTATTTCCACTGATAAAAATGTTACACGTAGAAATGTTGAATGATACTTCATTGCCATATTACCCGTGGGTACGGGTAATATGGCATATAGCTTGGGGTAATAGGGCAACATTAATTCATAATTAGAAATTATAGTTTTAACAAAAAGTAGTCAAATTTACAAAAAATAGCTTTTATTTTCCAAAAAATAAAGAATATGCATTTTTAATCAACAAAAAACAACAAATCATTTCAAAACTCGGATAACGGGATGCAGTCGTCGCAGAATCTATCAGATGGAGTGCAGATTTCATGGACCCATTTCGAACAACTTACACATTGAATCCAATCACACTTGGGACCTTTTTTGTCCATATAACATCCTTTACAGCTTGCACAAAAATCTGATTCATCAAATTCGAGTTCTGAATCATCGCTTTCCTTTAATTCAACCTCTGTCTCGGTGTCTGATGAACTCTAGAGCTGTAATTCATTCCCTTTGAAACAGTTTTCTTTCTCTGAACTTTTGCGCTTTTTCCAGGTTTTTTCTTTGCAAGTGTTAAACTATTATTTAATTTCTTACTTTCCACTTTATTTTTAGACTTTGACGCTCTTTCTTCTTTCTGTTTTAATTTCTTTATTTTTTCTTCTTTCTTTGTTCTTTTCACGGTAATTGTTTCCGGTGATGTTAGCACTTCAGCATGTTGCTTTCGGTGACCTCTGTTGTTACTTGGTCCTGGTTCTATGCGAGGAATTGGGAGAATTTCTTCGAATGGATTTTTGTCTTTACGATCATTGTTCTTTGCAATGACATCTGGAAAGTTATTATTTTCATTATGCCCTTCGCCCTCAATGATATTTTCTCCTGGATTAGGATTTTCTTGACCTTGTCCTATTTGGTCGAGAACAAATGCATAATCGGGAATCCGTTCGGGATTAAACGGATAAATCCCACATGTATTAAACCCGGATGCTCCATTTTGAATAGTTGCTGCTTTACACCAGGCGACATTAAAAAGTGAGGCGAACTGCAATCGGCCTAGTTTTCTACCCGGATTATTGTGAATCCAATTTTGGCAAGTTTGGGACCAATAGGTTTTCAGGGGCTTAAAGAAAGACCGGTCAAGCGGTTGTAGCCAATGAGTACTGTGACTAGGCAAACAAAACAGGATCACATCGTTCGCTACAGCATAATCTAACAATTCAACATTGGAACAATGCGAAGAGTGTCCATCCATAATCATTAAAACCTTACCGTGTCCTTTTCTCGGGACAAAGAATTCACGAAACCATTGGAAAAAAATATCCGATGTAACATATGCCGACCATCCTCGAATTCTATTTTTTTATTTTTTCCCTTGAAAATACAAGGTGGTAGGAAACTGCCCTCCGCGTTTACACATGTTATAACAGAAATGGTTTCTCCCTTTTCAGCACTCGTAATACAATTTACCATCTTTGCACCTTTATTTGTGACAACTTTTCCGGGATTATTGTTCAACTGCAATCCAGTTTCATCGAGATTAAAGATTTTCTGTGGAACATTCAACAAATTATTTTCTCTTAAAATATCTCCTAGTAACTCAAAATATTTAACACATTCTTCTTGTGTCATTCCTTTAGCTCTGGCGATGGACAGTCCTTGAGCTTTACGTACTGCCAACTCAGGATGTCTCGTCATAAATGACAAAAACCAGTCTTGCTCTGCTTTTTTTGCCTCGTTATTAAAAGTATGGGGAATGTTTTTTTGAACAGCAAAAGAAAACGCAAGTTTTCTGATATCATGGGCAGAAAGCGCAAAGCCGTGTGATGCCATGTTTTGTATGTATTTGGATAAACTGGTTCCTTGTTCAGTATTAAGGCAGCTTTTGCGACCTAGAGGAATTTTATTCAGATTTCCTGATTCCTTTCGTCTCATTATGGTTCTAACAGGAACTTTATAAATTCGACTTATCTCCCGAACTGCGCCTCTACCAGCAATGATATCCCCAATGGCATTCTGAAGATCTTCTTCTGACCACTGCCCTCTTAGATTTTTTCGGACCTAAGAACGTGGCATTATTGTTATCTAAAGAATAAAAAAAAATATTTTATTTACTAGATACGTTATAAAAATGTTTGGGGTAATATGCCGCACTACCATTTTAGTGGTGCATATTACCCCAGAATACAAAATATATGTTTTAACTAAGAATCGCAAACTCCAGTGTAAACCTGGTAAACGCTACATACGAAAAATGTTAGGTTAGAAACCCTACTTTACCAGTAATATAATGTTTAAATCGGATTATTAATACCTGGTTCGACAAACTTTTGCGAAATATGTTGTAAAAAAATTTTTGAGATGTACTTACCGGTTTTTTTAGCACCAATCGTTTAAGTTTAATCACAACAATCAACCAAGCATGCGTTCAGCGCTATCTTTTTAAACAAAACAGGTGTCCACTGCTGGAATGTTGCCAACTTTCTTGTACGACCTAAAAATAGACTGCGGCATATTACCCGATGCGGCATATTTCCCCGCTTTACTCTAATTTGTTTGCTAAAATTTGTTTGGTGTTCATATGATTTTTTTAAAGAGTTTTTTTTGTTAATTTTCGTGTTTTGTTATATTTATATTCATTTTTTATGATATTAGGTATTTTATTGATAATTTTAAACCCGGGATTTGTCGTTCAAATTTCGAAAATCCCGGGATTTTAAAAACCTTTCGGGATTGACATCCCTAGTGTGCTCGGATCGTTGGAGGAGCTACGTTTATCGCGCTTTAATTTTACCGTTTTTTGAAATATTTACGATTTTGTGAAAATGCAGTAAAAGCTGTTATGCTTGTTTACATCTGGTTTTCTGGAATTACTTGTTTGAGGCTATCCTAAAAAGCCTAAAAATATTTGGAGTTATATTTATTTTGGAGTTAATTAGTTTTAATTATTTACATAAATTCAAAAATAAAATCAATAAAAACGATGAAATATGTTCGTGCGGATTGTATAGATATGAAAACTCTAAAAATAGATTTGAAATGTCCAGCTAGTAAGAGGAATTGTGCAGGATTAGAAAAAATCCCAGTTCTAATGAAGTCACCTTTCTATCTTTCTAAGTTAATGAAAAACTAAATTAAATATAAACTTCTCCAACTATTATCCGAAAATGTATCGACCTCTGACCGAATAACGTTCTTTAACTGCCAGCGTAATTTGGGTCGAGACTCCTCAGAGACCTCCGTCAAATCTCGTACATTCCGTAGACGCCATGTTTAATTAATACATTAAAGTTGTAAGTTGTACTGGAAGCAACTTTGTCGAACAGTCGGCCCGGTCTGGATGCAATCCCAACTTTGACTAAATTATGAGCTCAGGGTTGACCGGAGTTAATGGACACGAATACCTTGGTTAACCGGAAATACAGATATCAAACGTAAACAGGACGGACTCATAATTGGATTTTAGAGTTTAGAGTAATTTAAGTTGGTTACGGCGAGATGGAGCTCTCTTGGACTGTTAATATTTAACGGGTCCGGTGGAGCGGAAGCACTTTGACGGAGAGTACCTACTGGGAATTAGTGGAAAAACTGATCTATAAAAATATTAATACGAATGTGGCTTATTGTTAAGTCAAAATAGAAAATATATATTTAGGGTATATATAAATATATATTTTAGGTAAAATATATATATATATATATATATATATATATATATATATATATATATTTAGGTATATTCACTAAGAATTAGAGAAAAATATATGCATATACAGAGTGTCAAAAAATAGTGTATCTAACTTCGGTGGGTTATTCTACACATAAAAATAAAACAAAAAGTTCTCTTCAATGTCATATGGGAAAGCGGAGAGGTATATCAGGACTTTCGCAACGCGAATATAGTGAATATATTTAGGAGCAAAGGAAGTGCATCAGACAGTGGAAACTACCGGGGAATTTCATTAGTGGCTATCGAAGGAAAAATTCTTGCAAAAATTATGTCAAATCGCCTGCACCCACATATAGAAAAAATCCTCCCAAAATCGCAAACGGGTTTTCGCACCAACCGCGGCACTGTCGTTTCCATATTCTCCGTCCGCCAACTACAGGAAAATGTAAAGGAGCAGCAGAGTAAACTTTATGTTGCATTCATCGACCTAACAAAAGCATTCGACTTTGTAAACAGTCACGGCAAATCACGTACAAAATTCATCACATAACTTCAATACCCTTATGACTGCGCTCTAGTTTCAAAAACGTTACAGCAACACTTTGGGCCGTTATGAAAAAGTTCGGAGTACCCTACAAATTTCTTACAGTGTATAAAAGCCTGCATAACAACAATAAGTCAAAAGTGTCACCATCATGGATCACTGAGTGATCCCTTCCTAAAAAATACAGAAGTTAGGCAGGGATGTGTCTTAGCACCTCTCCTATGCAACATATTCATGGCAGCGCTCTCCATTATAGTGGACACCAAACTGCAGGAAAGAGGAATGGCCATAAGATACAGATACGACGGCGCTGGAGGTCTGTTCAACTTAAAAAGATTCAGGGCAAATCACGTACAAAATTCATCACATAACTACAATACGCTGATGACTGCACTCTAGTTGCAAAAACGTTACAGCAATTACAAGATACTCGTATGCCCCAACTTTAGGTCTAAAGCCTCGTATGCCCATATACCTGGTCATACGAGGCTATGGGCCTAAAGTTGAACATCGATAAAACTAAAATCATCTGCGGTCCCCCGGAAGATCATAACAATGCTATAAAAGTCGGTGAACTGTTGGATTATGGAGCGGAATTCAATTACCTCGGCAGTTTGATTTCGTAAAAGGCCAATATCGACTCTGAACTTCAGCACAGGATTAGCAGCGCCTCAAGAGCATTCTTGAAATTAAAAGACAGGATTTTCTACAATCATGACTTGAGTACCAAAACGAAACTTGCAGTGTACCGAGCAATAATAATCCCCACCATGTTATATGGAAGTGTAACCTGGATCTTCCTAACCATCTTCTGATGCGTGTCAAATACTCACCAGCGAGTAATGGTAGTCGTAGTGGCAATAATTGACCAAGACATAATCGTTGCATCTCAAGCATGTGTTATTGAATGATAATTTATTTACTTATTTTGAGTGTTATGTTTAAGTTTCGTATCGTTTAATTAAATTGTTTATTATTGTTAGGTTAAAAATCTAGTTTAATTAAAATTAATAATAAACCTTCTTTGATCTTGGACTTACATTTATATCGCATCAGATATACCGCTTTATAAGATAAGCATAAATGTAGTGTTCCGGAAAAAGTGGTATACTCGTAATTTGAAAACTGTTGAAGGATATGTTAAAAAAAGTAAAAAAAAATGAAAGTCTGTAAACTTTGTCCATTTTATCAATACCTTTTTCCTAACCCCAAGCAAACTGAGTAATATAATATTACGTACATTTTATAATAATCATAAATGCATTTCATTGTTTCAAACACTTTCAGAACTGATTATATACTTATATCTAAATATTCGAAAGAGTAATAGAGACGTTATTAGGATTAAAACTCTCCCATTCAACGCCATCATATCCCCCATTTTCATTCACACTTATAAGTAGATATCCCTCTTAACGGCCCGTAATTGTCGTTAAACCTGGCCGTCGCAAAAGGTAACCGTTACGGGTTACGAGGCGATGCGATGGCATCGGCGTAACCTTAACGGCGTGTGGGCCGTTATCGCGGCCTGCTGGGACCGACGTTGGCCGTCGCACGTGGCGTCGGCGTCGAGGAACGTCCCTCGATGCCGCCCAAAAGCGTCGCGGGCACCTCGACGGATATGGGACTATTTTAATTAAACAGGAGGGCAAAACTGTTTAGTTCGTAAATGGTGGGTTTTCCGTAGTAGAGTAAATGGGTACCTAGTCCTCCTACCAAAGGATATGATGCAATGAAAAAGCGAAAGATCTAGTTAGAAAATGAGCGAACACTCCACTTACTAAGCAAGAGCTGTTCTACGTTCCAAGTGGAAACCAACTTAAAGCAGAACTCAAGAACCGGGAAGGCTACATCCGTAACCTGGACGCCTGGACTGGAAATCCTCCAACGGTCTAAGACTATCGAAGAAATTTCTCAGGACTTACGACCGATAAAAATCAAAGATTGTTCTTATATAAACAACAATTTTCGGATTGTCACGGGGCTTTTAACAGGACTCTGTCTATTCAATAAACACTTCAGTACATTCACTGAAAAAAGGGATCTCTCAGTCGAAATGAATATGACTTTGACCCAAAAGACTGGCGCTTTTCAATAGGGCCAAGAACGACGTTTCTTTGCCCAAAGCATTAACTATCTTTTCATAAGCTTTAAAAAATTATTTTAGAGAATAGAAGAATCTATCTGTCCAAAGTATTTCACTCTTGACCCAAAATGAATATGCAAAGAAGTTCTTGCTACAAGAACAATAGTCTCTTTGATTCATGGAAAAATTCTTGATTAAAGAGACACTTTTCTTAAACCAATAGCGAATACTATTGACTCAACTAAAATTTATTTTGATCTAAGAGAAGTCTATACATCATATATTACGAGGTATATTATCTTATTTTCTGATAAATTTAGGTTTTCCTGGTCTGTAGTAAGTAAAGTGATGTTATTTTCCTCGATAGTAGTTATTTCTGCTTCTTCACTCCTTGGTATTTTTTGGGGTGGTTCATCACTCTACAAATTACAAAGAACTGTTACATCACGATTTCAAAGTAAAGCAAATAAATTATTAAAATTATAAGCTTTAGTCACATTTTGAATTTTTTAATACGACGACTTGAAATTCTAAAATTTTTGTAATTATTTGCACAAAAAAATCGATACCTATTCTATCTATCTACCTAATTCTACCTTATTCTATCTATAGTCACACATGCATTATCTAAACAG